GCCCCCGCCTTTACGGCGTTGGCGCAGCGGCGGGCCCCGCGCCGCAGTTTACGCCGCCGGCGTAGCCGCCCTGACGCAGCGGCCGCATTACGCAATGCGGGTTACGCCGGCGGGGCGACGTAAACGGCGTTGGTGAATCGCGGCACCCCCGTGAAGCCCACCCGGTATCACCCCCCCCACACACACCGCCACATCCTCCCGCTTCTCCCCTCAGCGGCGGCACCGCCCGGCCCGGCCCGGCCCGGCCCGCCCGGCGCGCCCCGGGGCCCGCTCTTACCTGAGGGGGCCGGGCCGGGCCGGGCCGGGCCGGGCTGAGCCGCCCTCCCTCCCTCCCCGCGGGCCGGGGGCGGCGGCGGGGGCGGAGGAGGAGGAGGAGGGAGGGGAGGGGGCGGGGGGGCCGCGGGCACCGAGGGGCAGCGGCTCCGGCAGCGGCGCCGCACTGACCTCACCGCGCTGCGCGTGACGTCACGGCGCACCCGGGACACGCCCACCCGCGCCGCCGGCCCCGCCGCGTGACGTCACGGGGGGGACATGGGGGAGGGGGAGGGGAATCCCCGGGGGGGGGTCCCGGGGACATTTTGGGGCTGTGACGTCACCGAGAGGTTCCCCCATCCTCCCCTCCCCCAAAAAAATTCCCTCCGGGAATTCCCATCCCAGAGAAATTCGGGATGGCTCCGGGGGAGGGGGGGGGGGAATCCCTGAAATTCCCCATTTTTTTGGGAATTCCCATCGGGTTTGGGGTGGAAAAATGGAATTTTGGTCCTTAAAAAAAACCCCCCCCAGAAAATCCGGGATTGGCTCAGGGTGATCCCTCCCCATCCCAAAAAATTCCCGGCGTTTTTTTGGGAATTCTCCGGGGAAAAGGATGGATGGAAATCGGTGGGGGGGGGGTGGAGCCTCCTGCTGGAAAAGGGAATTTTTGGGGAAAAATCTGGGATTTCCTCCTCCTCCCCCCCCAAAAAAAATCCCCTTTTGGAATGGGATCGTTCCTTAAAAACCCCCAAATCCTCCCCGGGAAAAATTCCTTTTTTTTTTTGGGTGGAAAAATCTTCCCTAAAATTGAGGAATTTTAGTGGGGGGGGAAAAGAAGGAAAAAATTCCCTGGGATGCGAGCGCCGCCTTTATTGGGATTTTCCAAACTTCCAACTTTATTTGGTTTTTTTCCCCGATTCTTTCGGGAGATTTTTTTTTTTCCCCTCCTGGAATTCCCGAATTCCTCGGGGCTGGGAAAAACCGGGAATTTTCGCCTCCGCGGTTTCTTCAGCCTGGAAAAGGGAACGACAAAAAAACCTCGGGAAAAGCGAATTCCTCGGAAAGGATTTCCCAGGAATTGTCCCCAAAATATCCGGGGGGAAAAACCTGGGGAAATGCGGGATCCCACGGATCCGAGCCCTCACCTTCCCCGGGGATTCTCAGGGCTCTTCCAAGCTTTTCTCTTCCTCCTTTCCCGGAGATTTTTCTGGATTCTTCTCCTCTTTTCCCAGAGTTTTTCCTGGGTTTTCCTCAGATTTTTCCGGATTTTTTTCTGGGTTTTCCTCAGATTTTTCCGGATTTTTTTCTGGGTTTTCTTCGTATTTTGCAGGAATTTTTTCTGGAATTTCCCCCTCTTCTCCCAGAGTTTTTTCTGGATTTTTTTCCTCGTCTTTTCCCAGAGATTTTTCTGGATTTTCCCCCTCTTTTCCCGGATTTTCCCCCTCTTTTCCCGGATTTTTTCCCAGATTTTCCCCCTCTTTTCCCGGATTTTCCCCCTCCTCTTTGCCCTCCCTTCCCTGGGGTTCGTTTTGGGGCGAATTCCCGGGATTTTGGGGCTCCTCGTCCTCGTCCTGCAGGAAGGGCGGCATCCGCAGCGGCTCCGGAGCCTTCAGGAATTCCTGGGATCCCGGGAAATCCGCGGGAATTCCGGAGCTTCCCGGGGATTTGGGGGGCTCCGGGGGCTCCTCCGAGAACGGATCCTCGCCCTGCAACGGGAAAGGGAGGCGGGAATGGGGGGGAAAACGGGGAAAACGGGAAAAAACGGGGGAAAACGGGGGAAAATGGGGAGAAAATGGGAAAAAATGGGGAGAAAATGGGAAAAAATGGGAATAAAATGGGAATAAAATGGGGGAAAATGGGAAAAAATGGGGAAAAATGGGGAGAAAATGGGAATAAAATGGGAAAAAATGGGAGAAAATGGGGGAAAATGGGAAAAAATGGGAGAAAATGGGAAAAACGGCGGTAAATGGGAGAAAAATGGGAAAAATTGGGGAAGAATGGGGGAAAATTGGGAAAAATGGGGGGAAATGGGGAAAAATTGGGAGAAAAAATGGGAAAAAATGGGGGGAAAATGAGAACAAATGGAGAAAAATGGGGGAAAAGGGGAAAAAATGGGAAAAAATAGAGAAAAAATGGGAAAAATGGGAATAAAATGGAACAAACCATGGAAATCGGGGAAAAAACCCCTTGGAATCTGGGAAAAGCGATGGGAAAGTGGAGAGACAGAAAATTGGGGAAAACCAGGGGAAATCTGGGAAAAAGCTTGGAAAGCTTGGGGGGAAATGGGAATTTGGGGAAAATAAACCCTGGAAATTTGGGAAAAACCCTGGAAAATCGGGGGGAAACGGTGGAAAATTGGGAAAATTCGGGGGGAAAGCCCAAGAATTTTGGGAAAATTTGGGAATTTCCACTGGGAAAAGCTTCAGATCCGGGTGTGGCCCCCGAAAATCCCAAATTCGGTCGCCTGGGATGAGAAAAAAAGGTGGGAAAGGCTCCAATCCCTGGGAAGAGCCGGATCCCGGGGGGAATTTTGGGATATTTGAATCCAAAGGGGGAAATTCCTTCAATTGCCCATCCCAGCTCCGAGTTCCGCCGGCGTTCCCGGGGCACGGAGCCCGAAATTCCCGGAGTTTTGGGGGGATTTGGGAGGGGGGAATCTCTTCCCAGGGTTCGGAGAATTCCGGGAATTCCGTGGGTTTGGGGGGGGGAGGAGAAACCTCAGAGCTCCGAAGGGGGAAAATCCGGGATCGCGGCCCTGGAATCGTCCTGGGATCTCGGGAGCGTCCCAAAACCTTCGGGAATTGTCCCAAAACCTTCGGGAATCCTCCCGGAATGTCCGGGTTCCCCATCCCGGATTCCCTCGGGAATCTCTTCCCGCTTTCCTCCGGAGCAGCCGAAATTCCGAGCGAGGAGCTGCTGCTCCGGGGGGATTGATTGGGAATTCCCGGGGCTTTTTTGGGAATTCTCGGGAGAGATTCTTGGGATTTTTTGGGGAATTTTTTGGGATTTTTTTGGGATTTTTTTTGGGAATTCTCGGGGGGTTTTTGGGGATTTTTTTGGGAATTTTTTTGGATTTTTTTGGGAATTTTTGGGGGGTTTTTGGGATTTTTTGGGATTTCTCAGCCCCCCCCCCCATTTTCCAGCCGGGAATTGCAGAGCTGGGAACGGGAACGCTCCGGAGCCGCCTCCGAGGGAAATTCCCGGGAAATTTTGGGAATTTCGGGGGGGGTTGGGTTTGGTGTTCTGGGCTTTGTTGGGATTTTTTTTCCCGGAATCCGGGATGGGAGGCTGGGAAAACAGTGGGAACGTCGGGAATGTGGCTGCTCTGCACTGGGAATTACTGGGATCACTGGGATAACAACGGGAATCACTGGGATGTCAGGAATGCCTCCATCCCAAACTGGGAGCGCGGGAACGCTCCCGTCCCACGCAGCCGATTCCAGGATCCAAATTCCCTCCTTTTCCCGGGATTCCGGGGCTCCTTTTCCCGGGATTCCAGCTCCGTCTTCCCGGGGCTGCAGCTCCCTGGTTTTGGGATCCGAATTCCCTCCTTTTCCCGGGATCCAGCGTCCCTCTTCTTGGGATCCAAATCCCGATTTTTTCCTGGGATCCAAATCCCGATTTTTTCCTGGGATCCAAATCCCGATTTTTTCCTGGGATCCAAATCCCGATTTTCCCAGGACTCCAGGTCCGTCTTCCCAGGATCCAAAGTCCTTTTTTTTTTTTGGGATCCAAGTCCCGATTTTCCCCCAGGATCCAAATCCCATTTCTCTGGGATCCAAATCCCATTTTTCCCAGGACTCCAGGTCCGTCTTCCCAGGATCCAAATCCTTTTTTTTTTGGGATCCGAATCCCGATTTTCCCGGCACCCGAGCTTCGTCTTCCCGGGATCCAAATCCCGATTCCTTGGGATCCAAATCCCGATTTTCCCAGGACTCCAGGTCCGTCTTCCCAGGATCCAAAGTCCCGTTTTTTTGGGATCCAAATCCCATTTTTCCCCAGGATCCAAAGTCCTGTTTTTTGGGATCCAAATCCCATTTTTCCCGGGACTCCAGGTCCGTCTTCCCAGGATCCAAATCCCGTTTTTTCCCCGGGATCCAAATCCCGTTTTTTCCCGGGATCCAAGCTCCCTTTTCCCAGGATCCAAAGTCCATTTTTTTTTTGGGATCCAAATCCCATTTTCCGGGATCCAAATCCCGTTTTTTTTTCCCCCAGGAGCCAGCAGGCACAGTCACCGTTTTTCCCGCTTTTTTCCCCCACTCTCTTCCCACTTTTTTCCCGGCTTTTCCCGTTTTTCCGAGGTTTCCCGGCCCCAAAGCTCCGGGAAGGGATTTTTGGGATCTTGGAGCTTCTCCCGGGAATCCTCCGGAGGCGCCTCCGTCGCTTTTCCTCCGCCCCGGCTGCGGATCCTGCCCGGAAAACTCCGGAAAACCCCGGGAAATCCCGGGAATGCCGGCCCAGCCCCGAATCCCGGCGTTGCCAGGGGGGAGAAATTGGGATTCGGGGGGGTTTGGGATTCCTGGGATCGGGATTTGGGGCTGGAACCGCCCCGGAATTCCAGGAAATCTCAGAATTCCCCAAATTCCCGACAGTTCCCCACCGGGATCCACGGCTCCAGAGGAAGAGTTTTTGGGAAAAGTCCGGGATTTGAGGGGTTTTTGCTTTAATGCCGAGGAGACGACGGAAAGTTGGGAAGGAATTCCCGAAAAACAACGAAAACAAAGCCAGGAACGCCAAAAGCACCGGAAAAAAAACCCCAAAAAACTCCCAGATTGGATACAAAAAAATTCCAGGATTTTTCTGGGATTTGGATGTTGAGACACGAAAGAGGAAAAACTGGGAAAGAATTCCCAGCAATGCCCAAACCACCGGAAAAAACGGGAAAAAATCCCCCAGGATTGGACAAAAAAGCAACAAAGAACAAGGGAAGCTCCGGAATTTTCCGGGTTTTTCCAGAATTTTCTGGGAATTTGACTCTGAGGATTTCGGAATGACAAAGAAAGGGGGAAAAAACCCCAAAATTTGACAAAAATCCACCAAAAACTGGGAAAAGCTGTGGAATTTTCTGGGAATTTGGCTGTGACCATGCTGGAATGGCAAAGGAGGGGGGAAAACTGGGGGGAAAATCCCAAAAATTGGACAAAACCCCCCAAAACGTGGGGGAAAGGCGGGGATTTTGGGGGATTTTGGGGGATTTTGGGGGATTTTGGGGGATTTAGGGATTTTTGGGAAGGGGATTCCCGGGAATACCTGCAGGTAGCGCTCCAGCATGCGCACGATGTGTTTGTTGTTCAGGACGCTCTTGGCCACGTGCAGGCTCGCCTTGCGGAACTGCTCCGCTGCCAGCTGCAAAAAACCCCGGATCCAGGGAATGGAGGAGCCCGGGAATGCCGGGAATGGCACAGCCCCGGATCCCGGGAATGCCGGGAATGGCACAGCCCCGGATCCAGGGAATGCCGGGAATGGCACAGCCCCGGATCCAGGGAATGGCACAGCCCCGGATCCCGGGAATGCTGGGAATGGCACAGCCCCGGATCCCGGGAATGCTGGGAATGGCACGGCCCCGGATCCCGGGAATGCCGGGAATGGCACAGCCCCGGATCCGGGGAATGGCACAGCCCCAGATCCAGGGAATGCCGGGAATGGCACAGCCCCGGATCCGGGGAATGGCACAGCCCCAGATCCAGGGAATGCCGGGAATGGCACAGCCCCGGATCCGGGGAATGGCACAGCCCCAGATCCAGGGAATGCCGGGAATGGCACAGCCCCGGATCCGGGGAATGGCACAGCCCCAGATCCAGGGAATGCCGGGAATGGCACAGCCCCGGATCCGGGGAATGGCACAGCCCCAGATCCAGGGAATGCCGGGAATGGCACAGCCCCGGATCCGGGGAATGGCACAGCCCCAGATCCAGGGAATGCCGGGAATGGCACAGCCCCGGATCCCGGGAATGCCGGACCCCCCGGGAGTGCCACTGGGAATTCCCCACGGCTCCCACGGGATGGGGATGGGGGGAGGGATCCCCGGCATTCCAAGGGAAAATCGGGAATTCCAGAGGGGTTTGGGGGGAATGGGGAGAAATGCGGGAATTGCCAAGGGATCACTCCAGGGAATTTCGGGGGATGGATGCAGAGATGGGCAGGGATAACTGCAGGAGTAATTCCAGGGACACCCCCAGGGATAACTCCGTGAATTCCCGCAGGATAAGGGATAATTCCCGTGGGATAACTCCGTGAATTCCCATGGGATAAGGGATAATTCCCATGGGATAAGGGATAATTCCCGCGGGATAAGGGATAATTCCCATGGGATAAGGGATAATTCCCGTGGGATATCTCCATGAATTCCCATGGGATAAGGGATAATTCCCGCGGGATCGCTCACCCTGCGGCTGCGGCCGTGCTGTGCCGATCTCAGGTGCCGCTGCAGGCGCTGGCTCTGGGCCGGGATCAGCACGTCACACGCCAGGCAGTGCGCGGCCTCGATCCGCTGGAAGAAGTGCTCCTGCCCGATCCCTGAATTCCCGGCACTGCCGTCACCGCCGCGGGATCCCCGGCTCGGGATCACCCCGGGAACGGCGAGAGGGCCCAAAGAAATCCCCCAAATTCACCAGTGAAAACGGGGGACATTCCCAAATAAACCCAGGGGAGATTCCCAAATAAACCCAGGGGAAATTCCCAAGCAAATCCATGGAAAATTCACAAATAAATCCATGGAAAATTCCCACATAAACCCAGGAAAACTTCCCAAATAATCCCAAGAATAATCCCCAAATAAACCCAGGGAAAATTCCCAAATAATCCCAAGAATAATTCCCAAATAAACCCAGGAATAATCCCCAAATAATCCCAAGAATAATTCCCAAATAAAACCCCGAATAATCCCCAAATAATCCCAAGAATAATCCCCAAATAAACCCAGGGAAAATTCCCAAATAATCCCACCCAGGGAAAATTCCCAAACCCAGGGAAAATTCCCAAATAATCCCAAGAATAATTCCCACATAAACCCAGGGAAAATTCCCAAACACAGGGAAAATTCCCACATAAAACCAGGAATAATTCCCAAATAAACTCAGGGAAAAGCTCTAATTAAACCCAAGAAAAATTCCCAAATAAAACCCGGAATAATTCCCAAATAAAACCGGGAAAAATCCCCAACTAAACCCCCCCCAAAAAAATCCCAACCCAGCCAAAAAAATTCCCCAATCAAGCCTGGAAAAACTCCCGGATTTGAAACCCTGGCACATTCCCTGGAATTCCCAGGAATTCCCGGAATTCCCTACCCTTGAAGGGATCCGGTCTCTGTTTGCTCCCCTCCTTCTCATTCAGCTCCTGGCGCCGCCTCTCGATCTTCCGGTTCCTGTTCACGATGTATTCCTGGGAAAAGACCGGGAAAATCCGGGAATGCCGGCCCAAAATCACCGGGAAAAGCCGGGAATGCTGGCCCAAAAACACCGGGAAAATCCGGGAATGCCGGCCCAAAAACACCGGGAAAAGCCGGGAATGCCGGCCCAAAAACACCGGGAAAAGCCGGGAATGCCGGCCCAAAATCACCAGGAAAATCCGGGAATGCCGGCCCAAAAACACCGGGAAAATCCCAAAGGAATCCTGAACAACCCCCAAGCAAAACATCCACTGGGAGATCCTGGGAATTCTGACCCAAAACCATGGAAAACCCGGGAATTCTGACCCAAAAAACAACGGGAAAATCCCAGATTTCCAGCCTAGAAAATCCCAAAGAAATCCTGGAAAATCTGAGGAAAAAAAACCTGAAAAATCCCAACAGAAATCCCGATTTTCCACCTAAAACCTCTCGGAAAAATGGCAAAAAATAATCCTGAAAAAATAACGGAAAAAATCCCGAAAAATTCTTAAAAAATCCAAAAACAATTCCCAAAAAATCCTTTAAAAATCCCCAAAGAGTTCCCAAAAAAACCCTGAAAAATTATTAAAAAAATCTCCAAAAAATTCCCAAAAAAATCCTGAAAAATTCTTTAAAAATTCCCAAAAAATCCTGAAAAATTCTTTAAAAATCCAAAAAAAATCCTGAAAAATTCTTTAAAAATCAAAAAAAAATCCGGAAAAATTCTTTAAAAATCCCCAAAAAATTCCCAAAAAATTCTTTAAAAATCCCCCAAAAATTCCCAAAGAAATCCCCCCAGAATTCCCAGGATTCCCGAGTTCCCGTGGCTCCCACCTGCAGGAACTGCACGCTGCGGTCGGGCAGTTTGGTGCCGATGTAGCGCAGCGTCTCCCGGTGGAATTTGCTCTCCAGGTGCCGCTGGATCTCCTCCTCCTCCAGGCTCCGGAATTTGCAGACGGAGCAGGCGAACTGGATCCTGGGAAAAGCCAAAATCCCCAATCAAGCGGGAAAAAACCCAAAAAAACCGGGAAAATCCCGCAAAATTCCCGCCAAAATCGGCCCCGGAATGGGAATATCCCGGGATTTCTTGGGAATGCTGTCGCAAAATCGGGAATTGTCGGCCCCGGAATTCCAGGGTGGCCCCAAATCCCTGGAATTCTCGGGCAAGGAGGCACCGGGAGGTGCAAAAATCCCGGAATTTCTCATCTTAAAACTCGGGAAAATCCGGGAATCCCTGGGAATTCGAGGGGCAAAATCCCCAAATCCCCGGGAATTCTTGTCTGGGGAAGCGGGAAAACCCCAAAATTCCTGGGAATTCTCGGCCCCCGAGGGGCTCCAGGTGCGGGATTTGCCCCGAGGAACGGGAAAACTCCTGGAATTGCCGGGAATTCCCGGCGGGCCCCACCTGTCCATGGCCCGGTCCCGCATCCGGTCCCTCCTGCGCTGCTTCTCCCGCTTCTTCCTCACCTCCTCGTCCTCCTCCTCGGATGCTGAGGGGAAAACTCGGGAATTCTTATCCCAAAAAAATCCAGGGAATCCTTTCCCAGCATTCCCAGACCCCCAAATCCCCAGGATTTCCCCGCTTTTCCCAGGTTTTTCCTGATTTTCCCTGTTTTCTCTCCCATTTTCCCTGAGATTCTCCCGGTTTCTCCCCAATTTTTCCCATTTCCCCCCCCAGTTTTCCCTTTTTTCCCCATTTCTCCCCCATTTTTCCCAGGTTTTTCCCCATTCCCAGCGGGTTCAGCTTCACTGGGATCCTCTGGAATCCTTTGGGACCCTCCCCCAACGAACTCCTCGGGAATTCCTCCCCAAAAAGCCCCAAAATTCCTCCAAAATCAGTGGGAAAAGCCCCCAAAAAAAGCTGGAAAATCCTGGAATTCTGGGAAATTTCCCGCCAGCTCCTTCCAAAGGGCCCCAGAATCCCGGGAATTCTCCTGGGGAGCGGAATCCGGGATCTCCTGGAAAGGAAAAAGAAGGAAAAGGAAACACTGGAGTTGATTTTTCTTGGAATTTCCGGGGGGGATCAGCAGAATTTTGGGAATTTTCACCCCGTTTTTTGTGGATATTCCCAAAAACCCGCCGGTTTTCCATGGAATTGTCCAGGCTGGGAAAGCCCCGAGGGATTTGGGAATTCCTGCCCTGCTCAGCCCCTCCCGACTTTTTCCAGGCAGGAATTCTTCCAAAAAATCCCCCTCAAAATTCCCAAATTTCTGATCCCAGCTGGGAAAAAAAACCCCAAAATTTGGGATCCAGCCCTTCCGGGTCCAAATTCCCGATTTTTCCCATTTCCAGAGGGTTTTTTTGGGATGCTCCAAGCCAGAAAATCCCTCGGGAATTGCTGCAGGGCTCCGAAATTCCCAGATTTTGGGGAATCCCTGGAATACTTACACCTTTGTCAGCCTCATCCAAGGATTTTTCCTCTCCTTCCCCTTCATCTCCTGCGGGAAAAACGGGAAAATTCAGGGGAAAAAACGCCGGGAATTGGGAAAAAAGGCCAGGAAACCCCGGGAAAAAAGGGAAATCCACGGAAAAAGGGGAAATCCTGGGAAAAGGGAGGAAAATTGGTGAAGATCCAAGGGAGAGGGCGGGAATTCCCAGGAAAAGGGAGAAAACCTCAGGAGAAAAGATCGGGATTGCCAAGAAAAGGCTGGGAATCCCCAGGAAAAGCTGGGAATTCCCTGGGGAAAGGTGGGAATTCCCCGGAAAAGCTGGAATTTCCCGGCAGGGCCGGCGTTACCGTGCTCGGAGTCGCGCTCGTTGCCGTCGCTGTCGCTCCGGGTGTTTTTGGGGTCGTTCCCGTCGGTGTTCCCGCTGTTCCCGTCGGCGTTCCCGGAGCCGCTCCCGCTGTTCCCGCCGGCATTCCCGGCGTTCCCGGAGCCGTTCCCGCTGTTCCCGGCTCCGTCGTCGCCGCTCCGGGAGCGTTTCCGTTTCCGGGCCCCCTCGGGCTCCCAGCGCCCCCCGGAGCGAGCGCGGAAAGGGCGGCGCCGGCCCTGCGGAGAATCCCGGGAATCAGGGGAATCCGGGAATGGGGAAACCCGGGAATCAGGGGAATCCGGGAATGGGGAAACCCGGGAATGGGGAAACCCGGGAATCAGGGGAATCCGGGAATGGGGAAACCCGGGAATCCCGGGAATGGGGAAACCCGGGAATCCGGGAATGGGGAAACCCGGGAATCCCGGGAATCCGGGAATGGGGAAACCCGGGAATCCGGGAATGGGGAAACCCGGGAATCCGGGAATGGGGAACATGTGGGAATAACGTGGGGAAAAATGAGGAACCCTGGGAAAGACGTGGGGAAGAGCAGGGAAAATCTGTGGGAAAAAAAATGGGGAAAAAAGTGGGGAAAAGGCAGGAAAATTTGGGGAAAAAGTGGGAAAATCTGGGAAAAACTGGAACTAACTGGCAAAAGAGCGGGAGAAAGTGGGGAAACCTGGGATTGGTGTAGGAAGGAGTGGGAAAAGGTAGGAAAAGGCGGGAAAAGGTGGAAAAAGGCGGGAAAAGGCGGGAAAAGGCGGGAAAAGGCAAGAAAAGGCGGGAAAAGGTGGAAAAAGGTGGGAAAAGGCGGGAAAAGGCAGGAATGGGAATTGCAGGACTCACCGGGAACAGGGCCCCGTTCCAGGGCAGCGCTCCCGGCCGCTCCCTCCTCCGGCCGCCCAACAGGGAGCGCCCCAGGCCCGGCATTCCCGGCATTCCCGGCACCCCCAGCCAGTCCTGATAGTCGGGATAATCGCCGGGGTAGTCGGGATAGTCGGGATAATCGCCGGGATACTCCGGCGCCGGCGGGAAGAGTGAGGGCAGCGCTCGGGATTCCGGCCCCGCGCGGTTTCCCGGGAACGTCGGCTCGCTCCAGCGCGCCGGGAACGGCTCCGGGAGGCGCCGGCGGCCGCGGCCGTGGGGCCCGGCTGAGCCGGGAAGCGCCGGGAAGGAGCCGGAGCCGCCGGGGGCGTCCCGGGACCGCTCCGAGGGCCCCGCTCCGAAGGGAAAGGCCGGCCGGAAAGGATCCCGGGAAACGCGCCCGTCCAGAGGGGCCAGAGTGTCGAAGCGGAAGGAGCTGGAAAAATGGGAATAAAAACCGGGATTAGGGCTGGGAATGGGAGGCAGGGATCGGTCTTTTTATCCTGGAAAATTGGGAATAAAAACTGGGATTTGGGCTTGGAATAGGAGGCACGGATTCCTCCTTTTATCCTGGAAAATTTGGAATAAAAACCGGGATTAGGGCTGGAAATGAAGGGCAGGGATTCCTCCTTTTATCCTGGAAAATTGGGAATAAAATCCCGGATTGGGGCCGGGAATGAAGGGCAGGGATTTTTCCGGATGCCAGGAACAGGAGGGAGGGATTTGGGAGAACCCGGGATGGAATTCCCACCTCTCCTGCGGCTGGCGCCCCTCCCCCGGCGCGCCCTCCTTGGCCAGCAGATCCAGGCGCTGGTTGATCTTGGCGATGATGGAGTCGGGATTGGAGCCGGAAACTTCCGCCCCAAAGGCCGAGCCCGAGGAGCCCAATCCCGAGGATCCCAATCCCGAGGATCCCAGTCCTGCAGATCCCAATCCTGAGGATCCCAGTCCTGCAGATCCCAATCCCGAAGATCCCAGTCCCGAAGATCCCAATCCTGAAGATCCCAATCCTGAGGAGCCCAGTCCTGCAGATCCCAGTCCCGAGGATCCTAATCCTGAAGATCCCAATCCTGAAGATCCCAATCCCGAGGACCCCAGTCCCAAGGCTGATCCCGAGGATCCGAAGGCGCTCCCGGATCCCGATCCATAGGCAGATCCTGCAGCTCCCGATCCGTAGGCGGCTCCCGAGGCTCCCAGTCCTGACGATCCCAGTCCTGAAGATCCCAGTCCTGAGGATCCAAATCCCGAGGATCCAAATCCCGAGGATCCCAATCCCGAGGATCCCAATCCCGAGGATCCCAGCCCCAAGGCCGATCCGGCGGATCCGTAGGCGGCTCCCGAGGATCCGAAGGCGCTCCCGGATCCTGATCCGTAGGCGGATCCCGCAGCTCCCGATCCGTAGGCGGCTCCCGAGGATCCCAATCCCGAGGATCCCAATCCCGAGGATCCCTCGGAGGATCCCAGCCCCAGCTCCGGAGCCTTGGGAGTCTCCCAGGATCCGTAGGCGGCTCCGGGCGGCGCCGAGGCCGAGCCCGCGTAGAACTCGTAGCTCTCATAGCCTGGGGGAGGATAATTCGTTAACTCGCTAATTAATGAGCTGCTTAATTAGGGAGGGAAAGAACCCGGGGGGGATCCCGGCAGGAAAAATCCCGGGATGGTTCCCAGGGAAAAAATTCCCAGGGAATTTGGGGGGTGTGGAACTCGCAGCCTTTGTAGGCTGGGAATGAAAGGGTTAATTAGGCATTGATTAAGTAGCTAAGGAGAATCAGCCATTGGTTAATTAATTAAGGGGGAATTAGTAGGGGAAGGAAGGAATTCCAGGGGGGGGATCCCCGCGGGAAAAATCCTGGGATGGTTCCCAGGGAAAAAATTCCCAGGGAATTGGGAGGGGGGGGGAGGGTGGATCAAACTCGCAGCCCTCGGGCTCATTAATTAATTAATGAGCTGCTTAATTAGGGGGGAATGAAAGAATTCCAGGGGAAAAAATGGGAAAAAGGAGAGGAAAAGGGAGGGAAAAGGGAAAAGGCAGGAGCAGCAGGAAATCAGGGAATTTGGGAAGAGGCCGCTGAGCGTTCCCGGATTCCGGAGGATCCCGCGCTGCCCCCGCTCCCACCTTGCCAGCTCGGCGCGCTCGTGCCGTAGGAACCTGGGGAAAACAGGGAAAACGGGAATTTTTCCAGGGAAAACGGGAACTTTCCCAGGGAAAATGGGAATTTTTCCAGGGGAAACTGCTGGAATTGCGGGGGAAAGGCTCGGGAATCAGAGGGATTTGTGGGGAAAGGGAGAAATTTTGGGAAAAGCAGGGAGGGAAGGGCAGGGCCTGGGATTTGTTGGGAATTGCAACGGGATTTGCAGGAAAAAGCAGGAAAAGAGGGAAAAGGGGATTTGGGGGTGGATGCAGAGATTCTGGGAGGGGAAAAAAGGGAGAAAAAGGGGGAAAAAGGGGAAAAATGGGGAGGGAGAGAGAAAGAGGGGAAAAAGAGAGAAAAAGATGGAAAGAAGGGAGAAGAAGTGGGAAAAAAGTGAAAAGAGGGGGAAAAAGTGGGAAGAAGGGGGAAAAAAGTGGGAAGACAGAGGGGAAAAGGAAAAGCTCAGGAAAAGCTCAGGAAAAGCTCAGGAAAAGCTCAGGAAAAGCTCAGGAAAAGCTCTGGAAAAGCTCTGGAAAAGCTCACCCTGGGTGCCGCCGGCCCCGGTGCTCCAGGCGCCGTATCCTGGGGAAAAGGCGGAGCCGTCAGCCGGGAAGGGCAAATTCCCACTTTTCCAGAGGCCGATCCCAAATCCCAAACCCCAGCCCCAAATCCAAGCCCAGCCCGGGACGAGGCACCCCAAAAAGCAGCAGGAATTCCCGGTTTTCCGGCAAAACCGGCACCTCCCGCCCCCCCCACCTGGAGCTGCTCCCAGGGAAAAGTTGGGAATGTTGAGCCCGGAGGCAAAACCAGGCTGGAATCTTCGGGAAATCGCAGCTGCTTCTCCCAAATTTCCCCGTTTTCCAAAGGATTTTTGTCCTTTTCGGGATGGAATTCCCTGCGTTTTGTCCCTGGATGTTCCGACTCCCGTTTTCCTGTTTTTTTTTTTTTTTTTTCCTCAGGAAATCGGGATAAAACCTCAAGTTTCCAGTGGGAATTAAGGATTAATTCCGGAAGGAAATATTCCATGAATATTTCCGGGAGGGAAAACTCTCGGGAATAAATCCTGGTCTCCATTTTTTTGGGATAAAATCCACGGAATCGACGAAAAAAATGGGAAAAAAAACAACACTGGGAAAGGAGGAAAAGCCAATTTTATGGAGCTGAGTGTGGAAATTCCTGATTTCGATGGAATTTTGTCCCAAGGAGAAGAGTTTTGTCCTCTGGGATGATCAGTTCTGGGAATTCCATCCCTTCATCCCAAAACTGGAGGCTCCAAAGCCACGGATTTGGGAACATTCGGGCTTGGTTTTCCACGTTTTTGAATCCAGCCAAGGATTGTCCGAATTCCGCAGTTTTACGCCAAAATCCGGGCAAAATCCGGGATAAAAATCCCTCCAGAGCCGTTTATTCCAGTCCCAGTCCCGCTGCTAATTCCATAAATCCAAGGAAATCTCGGCTGCCAGAACTTTTCCGGGTTTTTCATCCAGAAAAAAACCCCAGGATTTGCAGAGGCCGATTCCATCCCCGTTTTGCTTTTCCTGGTTTCTTTTTCCATCCCGTTGCTGCTTTCCCACCTCGGCTTTTATTCCCAAAACCAAAAAATAAAGCAACAAAACCACGGAAATAAAGCTTTGAAACCAGCACAGAGGAAATTCCAGATCCCAAACTCCCGCTACAACGGGAACAGCTCCTTTTCCGTGGATCCTGGAGGAATTCCAGCCGGGATTTCCATCGATTCCAGCTGGGAATGAAGTGATAAATCCAGGGAAGGAAGGAAAAATTGTCCTGGCGGGATTTTTGTGTCCCTAAAAGTGAAGGAAAATTCAATTTCCAGGGATTTTTGCAGCTCCCGATCGTGGATTTAAAGGGAAGGAAAGCATGGAGGGCTCCAAATGGGAAGAGATTCCAGGATTTTGGGAATATTTCTCCTCTCTCATCCCAAAAAAACTCCAGGCAGGGGCTTTGATCCAGCTGGAAAACCTCGGATTGAGGGAATTCCTTCCATTCCCAGCTTGGGATCCTTGGATTTGGGATCCTTTGGATTTGAAGGAGGGGAAATCCCGGTGGAAAAGGAGATTCCGAGGGCATCGGGCTCGGGATTTTCCCTTTCCCGGTCCCTTTTTCAAGGCTGAGGAATTCCAGGGGAATTTCCAGGGGATCTTGAGGAGATCCATGGGGATCCTGAGGGGATCCAGGGGAAATTCCAGGGGGGTTCCTGAAGGGAACAGAGGGAATTTCCAGGGGAGTTCCTGAAGGGAACCGAGGGAATTTCCAGGGGGAATCCTGAGGGAGATCCAGGGGGGAATCCAGGCGGGAACTCGAGGGGAGGTCCAGAGGGCGATCCAAGGGAGAATCCCCCTGAGGAAGGGACACGGGACCCCCCGGATATCGCCAGGACGAGGGAAACTGAGGCACAGGCGGCGGGGGCGGGGCCGCGGCCGCCATTTTGTGTCGTCTTCAGCACCGGGCCCGGCGCCATTTCCGCCCCCTCCGCCCCCCTCAGGGCACGACCCCCCCAGAGCCAATCAGCGCCGCCCTAGCGGTGAGTGACGCGCCACTCCGCCAATCAGCGGCGCCGCTGCCTCACGGGGGGGTGGGCGCTGCGCTTCCCGCTGCGGCGGAGCCCCCCCCCCTCAACCGCCGGTAACGGAGCCGGTGCTGAGGCAGCGACGGGAAGGAACCCCCGTCGCGCTGGGGCAGCGTCAGCACCGCGGGGCTGCCCCGCCCCGCGCCGCACCTACCGCCGTATCCCGACTCCATGGCCGCCGCCTCCGCCCGGCGCCGCCGCCGCCGCCGCTTCACCGCCCGCCTCAGCCGCCCGCGCACGCGCGCCGCCGCGCGCCTCCCACTAGGGCCCGCCTTCCGCTCTCCCGATTGGCCGATCTCCCCAGCGGCGCGTCCCGCCCGCAGCTTCCATTGGTCAGGCTGGTTCCCGCCCACGATCTGATTGGCAAAGGCGCTTCCTCCCTGAGGGCAAGGTCTGTCAATCACGGGCGTTCTGGCTCCTGATTGGGCGGCTCCGCGGGGCGCGCCTTTCACCGGCCGTGAGGGAGAGGAGGAGCCGCCGGGGAGTCCCCGCGGCCGGGAGCGGAGCGGCTCCGAGCCCACCTCGGAACGGTCCCGGAGCGGCCCCGGAGCGGCCTCGAAATGGCCCCGGAATGGCCCCGGACCGGCCCCTCACGGTGCCAATGTCCCCTGTGCCTCACAGTGAGTGTCCCCTGCCCCTCAGGGACAGCGTCCCCAAATCCCCTCAGGCTCCCCAAATCCCCTCAGGGTTCCCAATTCCCCTTAGGGTTCCCAAATCTCCTCAAAATGTCCCCAAATCCCCTCAGAATTTCCTGAATTCCCCTCAGGTTTGCCGAATCCCCTCACGATTAAGTCCCTTAACAATGTCTCTGAATCCCCTCAGGCTCCCCAAATCCCCTCAGGCTCCCCAAATCCCCTCAGGGTTCTCAATTCCCCTCAGGGTTCCCAAATCTCCTCAAAATGTCCCCAAATCCCTTCAGAATTTCCTGAATTCCCCTCAGGGTTACCAAATCCCCTCACGATTAAGTCCCTTAACAATGTCTCCGAATCCCCTCAGGCTCCCCAAATCCCCTCAGGGTTCCCAAAATCTCTTCAAAATGTCCCCAAATCCCCTCAGGGTTCCCAAATCCCCTCAAAATGTCCCAAAATTCCCTCAAAATGTCCCAAAATCTCCTCAAAATGTCCCCAAATCCCCTCAGGGCCCCCAAATCCCCTCAGCGTCCCCAGATCCCTTTTCCCACCCATTTGCCATCCCTTTTCACTCCTTTTTCCCTTTTTTTTTCTCCCATCTCTTTTTTCCATCCCTTTTCCAAAACTGGGTGGAATTTCCTCATTCCTGAAGGAGTTTCCCAATTCCTGGCAGGAATTTCCCCATCCCAACCCAACCTGGAGCTCCCCAAACCCCAAAATTCCCAGAAAAACCAGCCCTGCATCCACCATTCCCTCCAGCAGGGACATTCCTGGAACCCGAATTCCAAGATTTTCCCCATTTTGGGCAGGAAAATCCCAACTCCAAACACGTCAGGATCGGGATTGGGATGGGAGCTCCCCCCAAAAACTGGGAATTTGGGATTTTCCAAGGATGAGAGAGTCGGGATAACCTCAGGATGAGTCCTTTAAAATCCACAAAAACCTCGGGAATTCTCCCGTTTCACAACGGACACAACGGCACCGAACGCTCCGAGAGGGGAGGGAAAAACAGCGGGAAAATTGGGAAAAACGACGGGAAAACAGCAGGAAAACATTGGGAAAAGGGGGATCCACAGCCACAGGAAATCCTGGGAAAACCTCGGCGAGGTGAGGGGGACAAATCCCAGCCTTGTCCCACCCGGAAAAATCCCCGTTCCCGAGGGAAGAGGGGAAAAATTCCCACAAATCCACCTGGAAAAAAACCCAAATAAACGGGATCACGGCAAAACTTTGGGAGATCCGGTAGAAAAAAAATTACCAAAAAAAAAAAAAAAAAAAAGAATTCATTCTACACAATTCCCTCTTTTTTTTTCCGGGAATTCTCAAAAACAAACAAACAACAACAAAAAAAAAAACCCTTGACAAAATTCCCTCTTTTTCCCAGGAGTTCCCAAGAAAAAATTCCAAAAGAATTCCCTCTTTTCCCTGGGAATTCCTGGGATTTGGGGCTGGGAACGGGGAACATCCACGGACACGGATCCGACACATCCAGGGAATATTTTGGGTCCTTTTCCCGTTGGGAATTCACTCCTGGAGCATTCCGGAGCTTTCCTCTTCATCCTGCTGCTCTTCCCTTGGGAATTCCTCTGGGAATTCCTCGGCATTTTGGGAATTTTCCGCCTTTTCCGCCTCTGGATTTGTCCCTGTTCCCCTTTCTTGGGCTTTAGCTGCTGGAATTTCCTCAGGGCTTTTGTTTTCCTCGGGATTTTCCTCAGGATTTTCGGGATTTTCCTCAGGATCCTCGGGGTTCTCCTCGAGATTTTTGGGATTTTCCTCGGGGCTTTCCTGGCGATTTTGGGGATTTTCCTCAGGAATTTGGGGATTTTCCTCGGGATTTTGGGGGTTTTCCTCGGGATTTTCCTCGGGATTTTCCTCCGTGGCTCCTTCCCCTTCCTCGTGCTCCTCCTTTTCCTCGGGATCATCTGTGAAGGGATTTTCCCCCTGGAAAAAAGGGGAAAAAAAAGGGAAAAAAAAAAATCCCCCAAAACCATTTGGAGCTTCCCTCGGGATTCCCCAAGGAATTCTGGGATTTTTGGGATGGGATTGATGGGATTTTGGGGATTTAAAGGATATTTGGGATGGGCTCTATGAGATTTCTGGGATCTAAACCCCAAACCGCTGCAGAATTCCCAAAAATCCCCCAAATCCCAAATCCAGCCTCAACCCCACAGCACCTGGAAAAATCCAGGAATTCCCACCCCCAAAACATTCCCAAAAAAACATCCCCAAACTCCCAAATTTTCCCTAAAAACTCCCAAATATTCCCAAAAAAGCCCTCCTGGGGTGTTCCTGGCCCCGGAATTCCGGGAATTCCCACCTTGAGGTACTTTTCCAGCTTTTTGCTGATGAGTTTGTTGTTGAGGATGCTCCGGGCCACCACCAGCGAGGATTTCTTGGATTGCTCCATCATGGCCTGGGAGGGGACAGGGAATTCCCGGGATTCGGACACGGATCCGGCAGAATTCCCAAGAAATTCCCTGGGAGAAGGGGCTGGGAGCAGAAACCCAGCAAAATTCCCAGGAAATTCCTTGGGAAGAAGGGGCTGGGGGCACAAATCCAGGGAAATTTGTGGGAAATCCTGGGATTTGGGGCTCCCCCTTTGTGAATTCCCAGGATTTTGGTGGATCCCTGTGGGAAATCCCAGGATTTTTCAGGATCCTCATGAGATCCTGGGGCTGTCCCGGTGTGAATTCCTGGAATTTGTGGCTGTCCCGGTGTGAATTCCCGGGATTTGTGGCTGTCCTGGTGTGAATTCCTGGGATTTGTGCCTGTCCCGGTGTGAATTCCCGGGATTTGTGGCTGTCCCGGTGTGAATTCCTGGGATTTGTGGCTGTCCCGGTGTGAATTCCTGGGATTTGTGGCTGTCCCGGTGTGAATTCCCGGGATTTGTGGCTGTCCCGGTGTGAATTCCCTGGATTTGTGGCTGTCCCGGTGTGAATTCCCGGGATTTGTGGCTGTCCCGGTGTGAATTCCCGGGATTTGTGGCTGTCCCGGTGTGAATTCCCGGGGCTCACCCGGCGGTTGTGGTTGTGATCCGGGGATTTCAGGTGTTTCTGGATGGAGCCGAAGTGCATCGGGAGCAGGAGGTCACAGGCGGAGCAGTGAGCGGCCTCCACCTTCCGCAGGAAGTGCTCCAGGCCCACCTCTGCCAGGGAACAGCGGGATCAATGGGATCAATGGGATCAATGGGATCAATGGGATCAATGGGATCATCGGGATCAATGGGATCATCGGGATCAATGGGATCAATGGGATCATCGGGATCAATGGGATCATCGGGATCATCGGGATCAATGGGATCAATGGGATCATCGGGATCAATGGGATCAATGGGATCAATGGGATCAATGGGATCAATGGGATCATCGGGATCAATGGGATCAATGGGATCAATGGGATCAATGGGATCAATGGGATCAATGGGATCATCGGGATCAATGGGATCATCGGGATCAATGGGATCAATGGGATCATCGGGATCAATGGGATCATCGGGATCATCGGGATCAATGGGATCAATGGGATCATCGGGATCAATGGGATCAATGGGATCAATGGGATCAATGGGATCAATGGGATCAATGGGATCATCGGGATCAATGGGATCAATGGGATCATCGGGATCAATGGGATCACCGGGATCATCGGGATCAATGGGATCAATGGGATCATCGGGATCAATGGGATCAATGGGATCATCGGGATCAATGGGATCCACAGGGCTCCAGGCCCACCTCTGCAACCCGAGCATGGGATCGGGATCAGGATCAGGATCAGGATTGGGAATGGTGAATCCCTTGGGGCCATTCCAGAGCCTTTCCCAGGCTTCCCAAACCTTTCCTTCCCTCGGGATCCCCCAGAGCCTTCCCAGCCTCAGCATTCCCGGCCCCTTCCCATGGGAATTCCCAGGAATTCCCGGGATACCCTGTGTCAGGTCCTGCTCCCGCTGGATCTGCTGGATGACGGCGTTGATGTCGCGGATCCCGCGGCGCCGCTCCTCCGTCTTCCGCGTCTTGTTGGCCACGTATTCCTGCAGGGAATTCCCAGAAATCCCCAGGAATGGCCCCGGGGATTCCTGCAGGGGAAATTCCCTGGGATCGCCCTCCCAGAAATCCCCAAAAAAACCCGGAACAGCGGGATTCCCCATCCCAAAAAGCCCGGCAGGGAAGGAGCCCGGGGCAGCGGATTGGAGGGGATGGGAAAAGGGAAAAGGAGGGAAAAGGGGAAAAGAGAGAAGAGGAAAAGGAGGGAAAAGGGAAGGAAGGAAGGGAATGTGAGGAAAAGAGGGAAAGGAAAAGCAGGAAGAGCAGGAAAAACAAAAAAAGGAAGGGAGGAGAAGAAAAAGCAGGAAAGGAAGGAAAAGCTGGAAAAGAGGAGCAAGAAAAGCAGGAAAAGAAGAGCAGAAAAAGCTGGAAAAGAGGAGCAGGAAGATCAGGGAAAGAGGGAAAGGAAGAGCAGGGAGAGAGGGAAAGGAAGAGCAGGGAAGGAAGAGCAGGAAAAGCTGGAAAAGAGGAGCAGGAAAAGAGGGAAGGAAGAGCAGCCCCCGATCCCGGGAATGCCGCGGGACCTGCAGGAATTCCGCCGTCTGCGGCGGCAGCTTGGAGCCCACGAACTGGAAATGCTCCCGGTGGAATTTGCTCTCCAGGTGCTGCCGGATCTCATCCTCGAAAAACGTCCGGAACTTGCACAGCGAGCACACAAACTGGATCCTGGAAAAACAACGGGAATAACGGGGAATAATGGGAATGCACACAAACTGGATCCTGGAAAAACAACGGGAATAACGGGAATAGCAATGGGAATGACAATAGGATAACAATGGGAATAACAATGAGAATGATGGGAATGCACGCAAACTGGATCCTGGAAAAACAACGGGAAAAACAACGGGAATAACAACGGGAATAACAATGGGAATAACAATGGGAATGATGGGAATGCACATGAACTGGATCCTGGAAAAACAACGGGAATAACAATGGGAATAACAATGGGAATAACAATGGGAATAACGATGGGAATAACGGGATAATGGGAATGCACGCGAACTGGATCCTGGGGAATGGACACCAGGAACAGTGGGAACAAAAATCCCAGAACAACATCCCTAAAAAGGGGGAAATATTCCCAAAAAAGCCCGGCATTCCCAGGAAATACCTCTCCACCATCCGGTCCCGGTGCCGCTTCTTCTGCCGGTCCTGGGATTTCCTCCCGGCCTGGAGCTTCTGCCGCAGCTGGGAATTCTGGGAATTCTCCTCCGGGATGCTCAGGGCTCCTGGAAAAATGGGAATGCCGAGGAAAACGGAGCTTGGGAAAGGCCGGCCTGGATCCAGAGGGGTTCCCAGATTTTCGGGATTTAGGGGTTTTTAGGGATGGAGCAATCCCAGATTTCTCTGGATTTAGGGAGGAGCTCATCCCAAATTTTCTGGTTTTAGGGACGGATCCTTTCCCAAATTCCAGGATTTAGGGATAAAGCGGCCCCGGATTTCTGGGATTCCCTGATCCCGGGAATTCCCTGGATTTTCCCTCTTCCCTCCCGGAGGAGCCGGGATTCCACTCGGAGCCCCTGGAAAAACCCACCGGGAATTCCTGGGATTTCCCCTCGGAATTCCCAACTCACCTTTCTCGGAATCTCTTCCCTCTTCATCCTCCCCTTCCTGAAAAACCAAAACCGTGGGAATTTCAAACCCCCCGCAGCGAAATTCCCTGAGTTTCTCCCTCTGGAATTTCCCCTGGATTCGGGAAATTCCGGGAATCCCGAACTTTTGGGGGCTTTTCCCAATGGAATGTCTCAGGGACGGGAATTTCACTGGAGAGGCCGAAATTCCCTGGAATTCCCACGGAAAATTCCACCTCCAGCCATTCCCCCAACCCAAATCCTGCGGGAATTCCCCCGGAATCCCGGGATTTCCCTCCCTCCCATCCCCAAATCCCAGGATTTTCCCTCCCCACCCCATTTCCCTTGGAAATTCCCCCAAATCCTTCAGGAATTCCCCAGAATTCCAGGATTTCTCCTCACTCACCCCTCTGGATTCCTCCTTTTCTCCGGATTCGCCCTCCGTGCCTTCCTCTGGAAGGGACAAAGCCCCAAAAATCGGGAATTCGGGATAAATCCCGGGATTTTCAGAGCTGGAAATCCGGGATTCGGCCCCAAATTTGGGCAGAATCCCGGGATTTTGGGCCCCCCCCCTCACCGTTTTCCGAGCTGGAATTGTCGGATCCGTCGGTTTTGGGAGTTTTTTCCTCGGAGCCGCTCGGCTGCTTCCGCTTCTTCCCAAAGGAATCCCGGCGGAGCCGCTTCCGCTGCGGCTGGAAAAGCGGGAATTTAAATTCCCAAACCAGCGGGAATTTCCCCCTGGAAAAGCTCCCAACATTCCCAAACCCCGATTTTCAGGATCTGAACCCCCTTGAAATCCAAAATCACCCCAAAAACCCTTGGAATTCCCAGCTCCTCCTCCCCTCCGCGAATTCAGCGGGAAAATCGTGGAAAAGTCATGGGAAAATCATCATGGGAAAAGCACAGGGAGATCATGGAATAATCATGGAAAATCGTGGGGAAATCATGGAAAATTGTGGGAAAATCGCGGAAAATCATGGGAAAATCGTGGGAAATATTGGGAAAATCATGGAAAATCATGGAAAAGTCATGGGAAAATGGTGGAAAAGTCATGGGAAAATCATCATGGGAAAAGCACAGGGAAATCATGGAAAATTGTAGGGAAATCATGGAAAATTGTGGGGAAATCACGGAAAATTGTGGGGAAATCACGGAAAATTGTGGGGAAATCACGGAAAATTGTGGGGAAATCACGGAAAACCACGGAAAATCCACGGGAAAGCCTGGGAACGACGGGAACGCCGCGGCCAAGAGGCCGGACTCACCCGGAAATCCGCATCCCACATCTTCCAGCCCCTCCTCATCCTCTTCATGCCGCGGAAATTCCCGGGAAAGCCTCGGAAGCCCTGGAAGCCGCCGGGCTCGGGGAGGATGTTCTGGGAGAAGAGCGACGGGAGCCTCCGGGCTCCGGGGGGGCCCCGCGGCTCATTCCAGACCCCCCGGCCGGGAAATCCCGGGAATTGCCGCTCCCGGCCCCAGCCGTGGCCCCGGTGGCCGAAGTTCTCCCGGAATTTCCCCTGGAATTGCTGCTCCCGGGGGCGGGGCCGGCCGTAGAAGTCGTTGGCGTCGGGCTCGGACTCGTTGGGAAAATCGGGATAATCGCCGGGATAATCGCCGGGATAATCGTTGGGGTAGTCGGGATAGTCGTTGGGGTAATCGTTGGGATAATCGCCGGGATAATCGTTGGGATAGTCGGGATAATCGCCGGGGTAGTCGGGATAGTCGGGATAGTCGAAGGCCGCCCGGTACAGCTCGCGCTCGCTCAGAGCCCCCCGGGAGTCGCCGTAGGATTCGTAGGGATCGTACCTGGGAACGGCCGCCATTCCCAAAAAACCGTTCAGGGAGGGGGATTCCCACGGAAAAGGGTTCAGGGGTGCGGGATTCCCACAATTCCCAAAAAACACGTCCCGGCCGTTGGGGACCCCCTTCTCCATCCCATTTCCCATTTCCCGGCCCTTTCCCGGCTCTCCAGGACCTGATCCCAGGCCAACTCCCAGGGCTGGGATTTGGGATCAGATTACCATTCCCACATTCCCATCCCCACATCCCCACATTCCCATTCCCATTCCCACATCCCCACATTCCCATCCCCACATTCCCACATTCCCATCCCCACATCCCCACATTCCCATCCCCCCATTCCCACATTCCCATTCCCATTCCCACATTCCCATCCCCCCATTCCCACATTCCCATTCCCATCCCCACATCCCCACATTCCCATTCCCACATTCCCACATTCCCATTCCCATTCCCACATTCCCACATTCCCATCCCCACATTCCCATTCCCACATTCCCACATTCCCACATTCCCATCCCCACATTCCCATTCCCATTCCCACATTCCCATTCCCACATTCCCACCTGTCTCCGGCGGCTCCGTAGCCCCGGCCCTGCATCCCCTCGGATTCCGGGGCGATCCCGGCTCCCGGCTCCGGCCGCTGCTTCCCGGGCCCTTCCCCACCCTCGGGGGCCCCGTCGGGTTCGGCGGCTCCCAAATCCCAGGAATTCCCGGCCGCGGCTCCGTAGCCAAAGGCGCCGCCGGAGCCGCCGGAGCCCTCGGGGCCGAAGCCATAGGGGAAAGAGTAACCCTCGTAACCTGCGGAACGGCGGGAATTCCCTGAGATCCCGGGAATTCCCTGAGATCCCGGGAATTCTCTGAGATCCCGGGAATTCCCTGAGATCCCGGGAATTCCCTGAGATCCCGGGAATTCCCTGAGATCCCGGGAATCCCCTGAGATCCCGGGAATTCCCAGAGTGATCCCAGGGAATTCCCAGAGCTCTCAGGGAATGGCAACAATCCCAGGATTCTCAGTGATCTTGGGAATTCCCTGAGTGATCCTGGGATTCCCAGTGATCCTGTGGTTCCCAGAGTGATCCCAGGGATTCCCAGAGTGATCCTTGGAAATCCCAGAGCTCTCAGGGAATGGCAGCACTCCTGGGATTCCCAGAGGATTCCCAGGGAATTCCCAGGGAATCAGAGATCATTCCCAGGGAATTCCCACGGAGTTTGGGATTATTTCCGTGTTTACCAGGGAATTTGGGATCGTTCCCACAAAACCTGTGACCGTTCCCAGGAAAAGAGGGGGAAGCCCCGGGAATTTGGGAAGAAAACCCGGGAGAGGCCGGAGCTTCCCGAGGATCCCGATCCCGCACTTGCCTCTGCTCGTGCCCGAGTTCCAATCGCCGTAACCTGAGGGACGGAAAATCCCAGTGAGGATCCCGAATTCCCGCCGGGAATCGGCCCCGGGATCCCCCAAACCCCCGAGGATCCGGAATTCCCACCGGGAATCGGCCCCGGGATCCCCCAAACCCCCGAGGATCCCGAATTCCCACCGGGAATTGCCGGGAATGGGAAATTCCAGCAGAAAATCGAGGGAAGGAGCGAGGGGGAAGTGGGAAAAAAAGGGAAAAAAACGGGAATTTTGTTGCATTCCTGCCATCCCCGGCTGGATATTCCTGGCTCACTCCCCGAGGGAATTCTGGCCTTAATTAGCGGCTCCTCGTTAGCGAGAGAACCCAATTAATTGATTGCTGCCCTTCTGTCTCCGCTTCCAGGTGGGAATTTTCCGGGAATATCGTCGGGAATCGCTGCCCGCCCCATCCAGGCGTGTCCCAGGTGAGCAGGGGAACGGAATCCATGGAAAAACGGGAAAAATGGGAACGGAATCCATGGAAAAACGGGAAACGGGAACGGAATCCATGGAAAAACGGGAAACGGGAACGGAATCCATGGAAAAACGGGAAACGGGAACAGCGGGGCTCAGGAGGGAACGGGAGAGGGGGTGGCCTGGGCTGGGGTTTGGATAAAATTCCAGCTTTGGGATGGAATTCCCGGGATCTGGGATGGAATTCCCGGGATCTGGGATGGAATTCCCGGGATCTGGGGATTTTGGGAAGCCGGCGGTTCCCGGGCGGGCGCTGCCGGGACCGGGCCGGGCTCGGAGGCGGCTCCGGGACCCCCGGGGAGCTCCCGGTGTCCCTCAGGGTCCCCCCGGTGTCCCCGGTCTGGCAGGGACATCCCCCGCTCCCGGTGTCCCCTCCCCTGTCCCGGTGTCCCCTCCCCGCTCCCGGTGTCCCCTCCCCGCTCCCGGTGTCCCCTGCCCTGTCCCGGTGTCCCCTCCCCGCTCCCGGTGTCCCCTCCCGCCCCAGCGGCAGCGCCGGCCCCGAACCGATCCCGCTCAGCCCCGGCCGCTCCCCGCTCCGGCCGGCCCCGGGACCCCCCCGGAGCCCCGGTTCTCCTCCCGGCCCCGGTTCCCCGCCCCGGTTCCCGTCACGGCCCGGAACCCCCCGGTTCGGCCCCGGTTCCCGTCCCGGCCCCGGTGCCGCCCCCTCCCCTCACCGTAGCTCATGATGGCGGCGCCTCCTCCCCTTTCCCGGGCGGTAACGGCGCCGCGCGGGCCCCGCCCCCTCGCGCTCATTGGCCGCGCCGTTCCGCCTCCCCCGCGCCGATTGGTCCGCGCGGTTCACGCCTCCCATTGGCCGCCGGGCGCTGTCGTTCGTGGCGATCCCCGCGCCGCGATTGGTCGGATAGAACGTCTGCCGGGTGGCGGGGCGTGGCCTCGGCCGCTCTGCTCTCCCATTGGTCAGTGGCGCCCGCCGAGCGCCTATCGCGTGACAGCCGCGCCCTCGGCCACGCCCCCTCGCCGCGGCGCCGGCTGCTATTGGCTGTCGCCCCCGGGGTCACGTGTCTGTCACGTGTCACGTGCTTGTCACGTGGGTGACGTGGGGACCCCACCGGGGTCACGCGAGGGCCCCAAAATCCCCAAATTCCCAAAATCCCCAAATCCCGACCCTCGGGATCCTCCCAAAAATCCCCAAATCCCAGGACTGGAACCCCACCCTGACCCCTCCCCTTCCCCAATCCCCCCTGGATTCTCCCCAAATTCCCCCGGAATTCCCGCCAATCCCAACATTCCAGCCACAAGAGACTCCGTTTTTCCCGGGAATTCATTTCCAGAAGAATTTAATCCATCGTCCCCCACTCCCGGGCGCAGGAACTGCCGGAAACCTCCGGAAAAACGTGGAAATTTAAAAAAAAAAAAAAAAAATTAAAAAAAAAAAAAAATCAGGGGGGGAAAAAAAAAAAATCAGGAAAAAAACCCAAAATTTTTCCCCGTTAAAATTCCTTCCGAAATCCGGAAGTTTCGGGATTCCCAAATAAAAACGGATCTCTGTCCTTCGCTCTCCTACACAAATCTAGAGATTAAAAAAGTTGGGAATGAGGGGGAAAAAAAAAATCCGGGAATAAAAACCAAGAACAACGGACGGGGGGGAAGAAACTGGGAATCGGGGAAAAGAAACGGAGCCGAATCCTCCCGGAATTCTGGGCATTCCCGCGGCATTCCCGCGGCATTCCCGGCTCCCGCCGCCGCCGCCGGGGGAATTTTGGGAATCGGCAGCGGCAGGAGGGGGGTGAATCCCGCGGGATTTGCTTGGGAAAAGTGGGAATTTTGGGAACATGCAACCCCGGAACTGAGGGAATTCCGACATCGACGGGGCCACGGGAAGAGAAACAAACGGAAAAATAAAACCAAAAAAAAAAAAAAGGGAAAAAAAACCTTGGGAATTTACAACTCTGCCAGGGTCCAAATGTACAAAATCCACAGCGTTTCCCCCCCGGGAATTCCAGGAATTCCCGGGAATTCCCTCCCCGAGCCGCCACCAGCGGGAAAAGGCGACGCCGCCGGTTCTTTGGGATAAAAGAAAGGGATTTTTTCCTTTTTGTTTTGTTTCCCGGGAAGCGACGAGAAGGGCGGAATCCCGGGGGGGAGAATTCCCGCTGGGAATTCCGAGGATCCGCTCCGTGTAGTGCTTGTGGCCGTCCCGGCCCTGGGGACGACTCCGAGGCGCCGCTCGCTCCCGCTTTTCCCGGAAAACCGCGGATTTGGGGGGGAAAAAAAACCCACGGGGAGATTCCGGCGGAATTCCGGAATTCCCGTCGGGATTTTTTTTTGTTTGTTTGTTTGTTTTTTTGTTTTTCGTTGCGGGTTTTTTTTTTTTTGTGGGTTTGTTGTTGTTGTTGTTGTTTTTCCCCTCCTGGAATTTTTTTTGGGAATATTCAGGGAGCCTCAGGCAGGGCGGGCGGCTCCGGGGGGGCCTCGCTCCGGCACGGATCCGCCTTGGAAAAATTCATCTCCAGGATGTGGCGCTGCAGGTGCCGCACCCACTCCTCCTGGATGGACAGCGGGCCCTGGAATTCCACCTCGCAGAACCTGGGAAAAGGCGGAATTCCGGGAATGCCGGGGGCTGCGGAGAGCGGGAAAACGGGAACGGGGGGAGGGAAAGGGACGGGAAAAACGGGATGGGGTGGATGGGAAAGGAGAGAAAAACCAGGAAAAACGGGATGGGGAGAAAGGAAAGGAGAGAAAAACCAGGGAAAAACGGGATGGGGAGAAAGGAAAGGAGGGAAAACCAGGGAAAAACGGGATGGGGTGCGTGGGAAAGGAGAGAAAAACCAGGAAAAACGGGATGGGGACAAAGGAAAGGGAGGAAAAGCGAAAATAGGGATGGGGAGCAGGAAAAAAGTGGGGAAAGGGAAAAAGAAGGGATGGAAGAGCTGGGAAAGGGAGGAAAGGCGGGAAAAGCGCCGCCATCCCGATTTCCCCACCTGCACTTGAGGGTGTAGATGTTCCCCACGAACTTGACCAGCGAGGTTTGGGGCGGGCGCGGCACCAGCGCCGGCACCGGGCGCACGCGCGGCGGCGGCCGCGGCTCCGGAAGCTTCCGCGGGAACTCGGCACCGCCCTCCTCGTCCCGCGGCAGCGGCGGCTCCAGCGGCCGCGCCTGGCGCCGCTCGAACTCTGCGTCCAACGGGAAACCGGGAACGCCGGTGGGGACGGGGCGGGGAGCCGGTCCCGGCCCGGATCCCAATTCCTCATCCCTGTTCCCAATTCCCGTTCCCAATTCCTGTTCCCAATTCCCATTCCCTGTTCCCAATTCCTGTTCCCTGTTCCCAATTCCCTGTTCCCAATTCCCATTCCCAATTCCCGTTCCCCATTCCTCATCCCCGTTCCCAATTCCCGTTCCCAATTCCTGTTCCCAATTCCCATTCCCTGTTCCCAATTCCCATTCCCAATTCCCGTTCCCCATTCCTCATCCCCGTTCCCAATTCCCCCATTCCTCATTCCCAATTTTACATCCCCAGCCCCAAACCCCATCCACAATTTCCCATTCCCAAATCCCATTCCTCATCCCCGTTCCTGTTCCCCCCACAATTCCCTCATTCCCATTCCCATTCCCCATTCCCCACTCCCCCACAATTCCCATACCCCATTCCCCACTCCCCATTCCCACTCCCCCATTCCCATTCCCCATTCCCCCACAATTCCCATTCCCCATTCCCCCATTCCCATTCCACATTCCCCACTCCCCCATTCCCATTTCCCATTCCCACTCCCCCATTCCCATTCCCCATTCCCATCTCCCCCATTCCCATTCCCCACAATTCCCAATCCCAATCCCCATTTTCCCCCCCACCCCTCACTCACTGCTGAAGTTCCCCCGCGGCTCCTCCACCTTCACCACCCCCAGCGCCGTCCCCAGGGCTCTCTCGGCTCCGTCGCTTCCTTTGCCGTCCCCCAGCGCCGCCTCGGCCGCCAGCGCCGCCGCCTTGCCCAGGAAGGGCATTCCCAGCGCCCCGCGCGGCTCCCGCGGCGGCGCCGAGCTCCGGAACTTCTTGGAGAAGGGCCGGCCGCCCTGGATGTAGCTGCGGTAGGCGCCGGCCTTGTGGGGCCGGTGCCGGATCCACTCGCGCAGGGTCTCGATGGGGGAGCCGTTGACGCACCACTCGGTGACGCCGAACTGGCGCAGGTGAGCCCGGGCGTGGCTCGCCAGAGCCTTGCGGTTCTCAAAGTACAGCCCGCACAGCTCGCAGCACGCCTCGGCCGCTGGGAGAGAGGGAGAGGGGAAATGGGGAGAAACGGGGTTAAAACGGGGAGAAATGGGGAGAAATGGGGTTAAAACAGGGTTAAAATGGGGTTAAAATGGGGTTAAAATGGGGTTAAAATGGGGTTAAAATGGGGAGAAATGGGGTTAAAATGGGGTTAAAATGGGGTTAAAATGGGTTAAAATGGGGAGAAATGGGGTTAAAACGGGGAGAAATGGGGAAAAACGGGGAGAAATGAGGAAAAACGGGGAGAAATGGGGTTAAAATTGGGAGAAATGGGGAAAAACGGGGGGAAATGGGGAAAAACGGGGAGAAATGGGGAAAAACGGGGAGAAATGGGGAAAAACGGGGAGAAATGGGGTTAAAATTGGGAGAAATGGGGTTAAAATGGGGAGAAATGGGGTAAAACGGGGAGAAATGGGGTTAAAATGGGGAGAAATGGGGTTAAGATGGGGAGAAATGGGGTTAAAATGGGGAGAAATGGGGTTAAAATGGGGAGAAATGGGGTTAAGATGGGGAGAAATGGGGTTAAAATGGGGAGAAATGAGGAAAAACGGAGAAAATGGGGAGAAATGGGAAAAAAACAGGCTTAAAACGGGGAGAAACGGGAAAACAGGAGTAAAAGAGTGAAAAGGGGGTTAAAATAGAGTGAAACGGGGTTAAAAGAGGGAAAAAAAAACCCCAAATCACCCCAACCATCCCAAATTCCCAGGAATTCCCGGAATTCCCGGGATCCCACTCACAGGCCTTGTCGTGCAGGGCCCGGGCCTTGATGCCCAGCTCGAAGCCGCGGTGTTTGGGGTCTCCGGGCGCTCCCAGCCCCTCCTCGGGCAGCGCCCGTTTGGCCCCCAGGAAAGCTCCGGCGTTTTTGGCTCCCAGCGGCGCCAGCGCCAGCCCCGATCCCGATCCCGGCTTCCCGGGCCGGCCGGCGCCCAGCGGCGCCAGCGCCAGCGGCGGCAGAGCTTTGCCGGGAGCCGGCGCCGGGAGTTTGGGATCCGGCGCCTCCTCCGGCAAAGGGCTGGGAGCCTCCAGCCCCGGCGGGATCGGCGGCTCCTTCTTGATGAGGCAGGGCTTGGATTTCTTCCTGGGGAGGGAGCACAGGGAATTCCGGGGGTTGGTACCATGGCACAGGGAATTCCCAGGGAATTCCGGGGTTTGGTACCATGGCACAGGGAATTCCCGGGGAATTCCGGGGTTTGGTACCACGGCACAGGGAATTCCCAGGGAATTCCGGGGGTTTGGACCGCGGAACCTGGGATTTGTACCCAGGGATCGGCACCGGGATCGGAACCAGGGATTGGCACTGGGATCAGCACCGGGATCGGGATCGAGATCGGGATCGGGATTGGCACTGGGATCAGGATCGAGATCAGGATCAGGATTGGGATCAGGATCAGGATCGGGATCAGGAATCAGGATCGGGATCGGGATCAGCACCAGGGATAAGGATCGGGGTCAGGATCGGGATCAGGGATCAGCACTGGGATCGGGATCAGCACCGGATTCAGGGATCAGGATCGGGATCGGGATCGGGATCAGCACCAGGGATAAGGATCGGGGTCAGGATCGGGATCAGGGATCAGCACTGGGATCGGGATCAGCACCGGATTCAGGGATCAGGATCGGGATCGGGATCGGGATCAGCACCGTGACGGGGCTGGGGCGGTACCTGAGGATCTCGCGCAGCGTGTCGATGGGCGAGCCGTTCACCGACCACTCGGTGACGCCCATCTGGCGCAAGTGGGAGCGCGCGTGGCTCGACAGCCCCTTGCGGTTCTCGAAGAACTCCCCGCAGAACTCGCAGCGGATGTCGCGGCACGGCTCCGCCCGGGACGCTGCGGGAAACCGGGATTAGGGGGGTGGAGAGACCCCAAATCCCCGGGAATGAGCTCCGAGAGACCCCAAATCCCCGGGAATGAGCTCTGAGAGACCCCAAATCCCCGGGATGAGCTCCAGGAGTCCCCAGAATCCCCGGGATGTCGCACACGGGGCTGGCCTGGGAGACTTCCAGGGAAATTCCAGGATTAAGGAGGGAAGGATCCCCTGGGTTGAGATCCCAGATCCCTGGGATGATCCCTGGAACCCCCAAATCCTGGGAGTAAACCCCAAAATCCCCCAAATCCTCGGGAGAAACCCCAAATCCCCCAAATCTTTGGGATAAACACCTAAGCCCCCAAACCTTTATGGAATAAACCCCCTGCCCCGCCGGACTCACAGAGGTTGAGCGGCGCCATCTCCTCGTGCGCGGCCCAGCCCGGCTCCGGCGCCGCCGCCTCCCCGGGATGGATCCCGGCCCCTCCTCCTCCTCCTCCTCCTCCTCCTCCTCCTGCCGAGCCCATCAGCTCCCGCTTGATCTCCACCCGCAGCTGATCCTGCTTCATCTTCCTGGGCACTCCCGGCGCCGCCAGCCCCGGGAACATCTTCCTGGCCGTGGGCGGCGGCGAGGCCGCGCCGGGCGCCGGCCCCGGGGGGCTGAGCGGAGCCTTCTTGGCCAGCCCGGCCAGGTGCAGCTCCGGCGGCCGCGGCGGCTCCAGCGGCGCCAGCCCGGCCAGGAGCCCCTTGGGCAGGGCTTTGGGGTGCGCGGCGGGGCGGCGGCGCGCCAGGATCTCGCGCAGCGTGTCGATGGGCGAGCCGTTCACGTACCACTCGGTGACGCCCATCTGGCGCAGGTGGGAGCGCGCGTGGCTCGACAGCCCCTTGCGGTTCTCGAAGAACTCCCCGCAGAACTCGCAGCGGATGTCGCGGCACGGCTCCGCGCCCGAGGCTGCCGACGGCACGCAAAGGGTTAAACCGGGCTGGGAATTCCCGGGAAAAGGGATTTGGGATAAGGGGAAGCTCCGAGGGAAATCCCTGCGGAACTTCCGTTGCGACAGGGCTGAGAGCCCGAGGCTGGGAACGGCACCAAAAGGGTTAAATGGGTGTGGGGGGATTCCCGGGAAAATCCAGGGAAACCTAAAAAATCCTGGAAAAACACAGAAAATCCAAACCCCAAAAAAATTCCCCAAAAAATCACCCCCAAAAATCCCCCAAAATTCCCAAAAAATCCACAAAAAAATCCGCAAAAAAATCCCAAAAAATCTGGAAAAAATCCTAAAAAATCCGCAAAAAAATCCCCAACAAATCCCCCCAAAAATCCCAAGAAATCCAGAAAAAATCCCAAAAATTCCTCAAAAAAATCCACAAAAAATCCTAAAAAATCCGCAAAAAAATCCCCAACAAATCCCCCCAAAAATCCCAAGAAATCCAGAAAAAATCCCAAAAAATCCCCCCAAAATTCCCCAAAAAATCCACAAAAAAATCCAAAAACTCCAGGAAAAAACCCCCAAAAAATCCGGAAAAAAATCCCAAAAAACCCCCCAAAAATCCCAAAAAAACCCCCAAAAAATCCGGAAAAAAATCCCAAAAAACCCCCCAAAAATCCCAAAAAAAACCCCAAAAAATCCGGAAAAAAATCCCAAAAAACCCCCCAAAAATCCCCAAAACCCCCCCCAAGCCCCCCATTCCCCCCGTGACTCACTGAGGTTGAGCGGCGCCTCCTCGTCCGGCCCCCATTTGCCGTCGGCGGGCAGCGCCGCCAGCCCCAGCTTGGCGCCCTTGTCGTCGGCGCCGCGGGCGCACGGCGAGCCCGGCACGGCCTTGCGCAGCCCCGGCGAGCCCGGCGCCGCCTTGCCGAAACCCGGCGGGGATTTGATGGCTTTGTTGAGCGGCGGCTCCGGGCGCGGCGCCGCCGGCACCGCCGGGTCTTTGGGAGACGAGGATTTCCTGGCGCCGTCGGCTTTGGCTTTGTGCCGCACCAGCTCGTACAGGAGGTCGATGGGAGCGCCGGAGCTCTCGGATTCGGCCACGCCGAGCTGGCGCAGGTGGGAGCGCGCGTGGCTCGAGAGGCCCTTGCGCGTCTCGAAACAGGCGCCGCACACCTCGCACGTGGTCAGGCTGGGGGCTGCGAAACGGGGGAAAAACGGGGGAAAAACGGGAAAATTAATCATGGTTTTAGTGTTGGACATGGAGAATCCCTCGGGATCTGTTCCTGAATTATCTGCTCCTGAATTATCTGCTCCTGAATTATCTGCTCCTGAATTATCTGCTCCTGAATTATCTGCTCCTGAATTATCTGCTCCTGAATTATCTGCTCCTGAATTATCTGCTCCTGAATTATCTGCTCCTGAATTATCTGCTCCTGAATTATCTGCTCCTGAATTATCTGCTCCTGAATTATCTGCTCCTGAATTATCTGCTCCTGAATTATCTGCTCCTGAATTATCTGCTCCTGAATTATCTGCTCCTGAATTATCTGCTCCTGAATTATCTGCTCCTGAATTATCTGCTCCTGAATTATCTGCTCCTGAATTATCTGCTCCTGAATTATCTGCTCCTGAATTATCTGCTCCTGAATTATCTGCTCCTGAATTATCTGCTCCTGAATTATCTGCTCCTGAATTATCTGCTCCTGAATTATCTGCTCCTGAATTATCTGCTCCTGAATTATCTGCTCCTGAATTATCTGCTCCTGAATTATCTGCTCCCGAATGAACCCAGCCCCGGTTTGGGATGGGAGCAGGAACCGCACACCTCGCACCTGGTCAGGCTGGGGACTGGGAAATGGGGGGAAAACGGGAAAAAACAGGGAAAAAATGGGAAAATTAATTGTGGTTTTGGTGTTTGGGTTAAAAATCCCTCGGGATCTGCTCCTGAATTATCTGTTCCTGAATTATCTGCTCCTGAATTGATCTGCTCCTGAATTGATCTGTTCCTGAATTGATCTGTTCCTGAATTGATCTGTTCCTGAATTATCTGCTCCCGAATGAACCCAGCCCCGGTTTGGGATGGGAGCAGGCGCCGCACACCTCGCACCTGGTCAGGCTGGGGAAAACGGGGAAAAATGGGGGAAAAAACCTGGAGAAATGGGAAAACCAGAGATGATTCTGATGTCGGATGTGGAGAATCAAAGGGGGTTAAAAATCCCTCGGGATCTGCTCCTGAATTCCCAGCCAGTCCCGGTTTGGGATGGGAACAGGAGCTGCACACCTCACACCTGGTCAGGCTGAGGGGAACGGGGAAAAACGGGGGAAATGGGAAAAATGGGAAAAACGGGAAAAATGGGAAAAAAATGGGAAAAACGGGGCTGAAGCTGCTGCCATCGGCAGGGGAAGGAGCAGGGAAAGGAGCTGGGGAAGGAGAAGGAGCAGGGGAAGGAGCAGGAGCAGGAGAAGGAGCAGGGGAAGGAGCAGGAGCAGGAGAAGGAGCAGGGGAAGGAGCAGGAGCAGGAGAAGGAGCAGGGGAAGGAGCAGGAGCAGGAGAAGGAGCAGGGGAAGGAGCAGGAGCAGGAGAAGGAGCAGGGGAAGGAGCAGGAGCAGGAGAAGGAGCAGGGGAAGGAGCAGGAGCAGGAGAAGGAGCAGGGGAAGGAGCAGGAGCAGGAGAAGGAGCAGGGGAAGGAGCAGGAGCAGGAGAAGGAGCAGGGGAAGGAGCAGGAGCAGGAGAAGGAGCAGGGGAAGGAGCAGGAGCAGGAGAAGGAGCAGGGGAAGGAGCAGGAGCAGGAGAAGGAGCAGGGGAAGGAGCAGGAGCTGGAGAAGGAGCTGGGGAAGGAGCTGGGGAAGGTTGGGAGCCGATCCCGGGGGATTTTCCCCCTCCCAGCCCCGGTTCCCGACGTTCCCAACCGCGAACTCCCGGGGTAATTCCCAAAAAAATCCCCGGGAACGGTGGGGCCGGGCTGCAGCCGCCCCCTCCCGAGGGAATCCCGGGAAAATCCGAACCTTTGGAATCCTGGGGCTCGGCTTTGCTGCCGGGGGGCTCCGGGGAGAGCTTGGTCCCGAGGCGGGGCGGGGGCGGCTCCAGCACCAAATTCCCGGAGCTTTTTTTGGGAAAGGGAGGAGGGGACGTCACTTCCATGGCCACCAGGTCATCCTCGTCCGGAGCCAGCACTGCGGGAAGGAGCCGGGAATCAGAATTCTGGGATGTTCCAGAAAGATCTGGGATGTTCCAGAGGGGATTTGGGATGTTCCAGAGGATATTTGGGATGTTCCAGGGGGATTTGGGATGTTCCAGAGGATATTTGGGATGTTCCAGAGGATATTTGGGATGTTCCAGAGGGATTTGGGGACACCGCCGGTGCCATCAGGGAGGGGACGGGGCCAGGCCGGGTCTCTAAGGGGGAGGGGACAGCGACAGTGCCGGGCCCTGAGGGGACAGGGCCGGGTCCCGAACGGGGAGGGGACAGAGGCGGGCAGCGACAGCCGGGGCCATCCCGGGAACCGGGCTGGGGACACCCCGGGGCTCCCGGTGACATCCCGGTGACACCCCGGGGCCATCCCGGTGACACCCCGGTGACACCCCGGTGACATCCCGGGGCTCCCGGTGACACCCCGGGGCCATCCCGGGAGCAGCGGCCCCGCGGGGGCTGCACAAGCCGGGCCCCCGGAGCCCCCCGAGGCCCCGGTCCCCGCCGGTCCCCGCCGGTCCGTGCCGGGAGCCGCATCCCGGGGGTCCCGCGGGGACAAAGCGGAGCCGGGGCCGGGACAAAGGAGGGCGGCGGCTCCGCGGCCGAGGCCTCCCGGAGCCCCTCGGGGCTCTCCCCGCGCCCTCCGCGGGCCGCGGCCCCGGCCGAGCGCCGCCGGTACCGGCGGGAACCGTGAGGGGAGCCGGGGGGGGCGGGGGGGGCGCGGGCGGGCCGGGGCGGGGCCGGGGCCGGCGGAGGGGGAAAAGGGGCGCTCACCCGGCTCGGGCGCGGCCGGGGGCTCGGGGTCGCTGTCCCCGCCGCGGTCGCGGTCGCGGGGCCGCGGAGCCGCCGCCGCTTTGGTGACTTTGGGCGGCGGGGAGGCGGCGGCCGAGGCCGAGGTGGAGGCCGCCATCTTGGGCACGGCGCACGCGGGGCGCCCGCCAGGCCGCCGCGGGGAGCGCCGAGACAGCGAGCGCGGCCGCGAGCGGCCAGGGGAGAGCGGCAGAGCGCCGAGCGCACCGATAGGGGACTGGGGGGGATTTGGGGATTTTGGGGGGATTTGAGGAGTTTTTGGGGGGGATTTTGGGAATTTCGGGGAGGATTTAGGAAATTTTCAGGGGATTTGAGGGGTTTTAGGGGAAAAAAGGGAGGATTCGGGGAAAACATGGGGAAATTTGGGTACGGGAATAGGGAAAATCCCGGATTTTGTGGGTTTGGAATGGAACTTTCCCGGATTTCCAGCAGCACATCCCCAAAAATCCCAAGCCATGGAACCAGAGTGGCTCCTCCGTCAGCCCCAAATCCCAGATTTATCCCAAAAGCCCCAAAACTCCACCCCAAACCCTCCATCCCAGGCCGATCCCGCAGAATTCCCAAAGCTTTTCCAACTGGATTCCCCAAAAACCCCCAAACCCTGCATTCACCAAACTCCTCCACCCCCAAAATCCCAAATTCCTCCCAAAAGCCCCCCCAAAAAAACCCATAAAAACCCCAAAATCCCCCAAAAAATCAAAAAACCCCCACCAAAAAATCCCAAAAAAACACCCAAAAAACCTCCAAAAATCCCCCAAAAAATAAAAAAAATCCCCCCAAAAAAACCAAAAAAAATCCCCAAAAAATCCCAGAAAAAAACACCAAAATATCCAAAAAAATTCCAAAACATCCCCCCAAAAAACAAAAAAAATCCCCAAAAAATCCCAGAAAAAACACCAAAATATAAAAAACAAATCCAAAACATCCCCCCAAAAAATCAAAAAAATCCCCCAAAAAAATCCCAGAAAAAAACCCCAAAAAATCCCCAAAAAACCCCCAAAAATCAAAAAAAAATCCAAAAAAAACCCCAAAAAAATCCTCCAAAATCCCCCCAAAAATAAAAAAAAATCCCAAAAAAATCCAAAAAAAACCCCCCAACCCCCCAACCCCCCAAACCCCCCGAGCCCCCCGAAACCCCCGGTATTCCCGGGCTGCTCTCACCGTCCCCGTACTGCTGCGGGCCGGGGGGGCCCCAGGGCGCGGCGGGGGAGGGCGCGAGGGCGCGCAGCAGCGCGGGGGGCGCGGGGGTCGCGGCCAGCAGCTCCTGCAGGATGTGGATGGGCGACACCGTCAGCTCCCAGTTGGTGATGCCGAAGTCGCGCAGGTGGGCGCGGGCGTGGCTCGACAGCCCCGCCCGCGTGTCGAAACCCGCGCCGCAGAACTCGCAGCGCATCAGGCTGAACGTGCCCGGGTCGAAGTTGGCCACTGGGGACGGGGGACAGCGGTCAGCGGGGACACACACACATCCAGGATCCCAAAAATCCCATCAGGATCCCAAAAAAATCCCACCAGGATCACCAAAATCCCATCGGGATCCCAAAAATCCCATCAGGATCATCAAAATCCCACCAGGATCACCAAAATACCATCAGGATCCCAAAAATCCCATCAGGATCCCAAAAAAATCCCACCAGGATCCCAAAAATCCCATCGGGATCCCAAAAATCCCACCAGGATCATCAAAATCCCACCAGGATCACCAAAATCCCATCGGGATCCCAAAAATCCCACCAGGATCATCAAAATCCCATCAGGATCCCAAAAATCCCACCAGGATCATCAAAATCCCACCAGGATCACCAAAATCCCATCAGGATCCCAAAAATCCCATCGGGATCCCAAAAATTGGGTTCACTGACCCCAAAACCCCTTGGTCAGATGTCCAGGGGGTCTCAGTGACCCCTCCTCACCCATCCCGGGGGTCTCACTGCCCCCTGCCCGCCCCCCCAGCCCCCTCCTCACCCCCTCCCCATCCCCCAGCTCACCTTTCTTTTTCTTTTTCTGGAAGGAGAACCTCTGCTCGATGGCCTTGACCTCCTCGGCCGAGATGAAGTGCCGCACGTTGTAGCTGACGCCGACGCGGTTGAGGTGGCCGCGGACGTGGTTGGCCAGCCCGATGCCGTTGTGGAAGCGGTCGGGGCAGTAGGGGCAGCGCCTCTCCTCGTTCCTCAGCGCCGCGCCCTCCGAGCCCAGCAGCTCCTCCAGCTCCAGCGGCGCTTCCAGCGGCGCCTCCAGCAGCAGCACGTCCAGGGGCAGCGGATCCTCCAGCAGGAAACCCCCGCCTGATGCCGCTGCCGCTGCCGGGGGCTTCTTCCTCCTCCTCCTCCTCCTCCTCCTCCTCCTCCTCTTGGCGCTCGGCTCCTCCAGGAGCACCAGGGGCACCATGGCCCGCAGCTGCCGCCGCTGCTGCTCCGAGCCCGCCGCCCTCAGCAGGGCCCCGAAGCTCCTCTTGAGCTCCAGCGCCGCCGCGGGGACGGCGACGCCGCCCGGCTCTTCCTCCTCATCCTCCTCCTCCTCCTCCTCCTCCTCGTCCTCGTGGAGCTCCTCCAGCCCCGCGGCGTCGCCGTCCCCGTCCTGCCCGGCCGCTCTCTTCCTCGGCAGCCGCAGGGCCGAGTGCGAGTGGCCCTTGGCGCCGGCGAATCCGGCGAATCCCGGGCTTTGGTGGGGGCCGGGACGCGGCGCCGCCTTCCTGGCGTGCTGGAGCCCCCTCCAGTCCTTCCCGGCGCCGCCGTCGCTCCTCTCCGAGCCCTCCCGCGCCGCCGGCGCCGCCAACAGCCGCTCGCTTTTCCCGAAGAACTCGGCGGGGCTGAAGGAATCGCGGCTGGTGCCGGGCTGGCCGGGATCGTCCGGGAAGCTCTGCCAGGACAGGTGGGAATGGGCGAAGCTCAGGTGCTCCCTCAGGACGCGCTCGTCGGGCGCCGGGAACCCGCACAGGACGCAGGAGCTCGGCGCTCGCCCGGCCGGAGCCGCCGGAGCCTCCTCGGCACCCGAGAGACCGTGGAAGAGCCCGGAGCCGAGCCCGGAGCCCAGCCCGGAACCCAGCCCGGAGCTGAGCCCGGAGCTGAGCCCAGAGCCCAGCCCGGAGCCCAGCCCAGAGCCCAGCCCGGAGCTGAGCCCGGAGCCGCGGGAGCCGCCCTCCTTCCTCTCCTTGACGTGCATCTTGGCGTGCTGCACGAAGATCTTGGAGGAGTTGGTGCCGAAGACGCACTTGGGGCACTGCAGCCGCGCCTCGCGGCCCTCGTCCGGCAGCTCGTCCAGCTTCTGGATCTCCTCGATGATCTTCTCCCGGGACTCCTGGTGCAGCCGCCGGTGCCGCTCCAGCGCCGCCGGCTCGCCGAAGGCCCAGCCGCACTCGCCGCAGCGCAGGCGGCGGCGGCCGGCGGGGGAGTCGGCGCCGCGCTCGGCGCCGCGGTTGTGCTGCAGCGTGTGCTCCAGCAGGTGCTCCTTCTTGCGGAAGTAGATGCTGCACTCGATGCAGGTGAAAACGCCGGCGTCGTCCTCCGGCTCCGGCTCCGGCTCCGCTTCCCCGTCCGGCGGCTCCGGGAGGAGGCCGCGGGCCGGGCCGGGCGCGAAGGCTCCGCGCGGCGGCGGCTCCGGCGCGTCGGCGGCGTCGAGCGCCCACGGCGGCTCGGCCGGCGCCCGCTCCGGGGGCCCGGCCGGCTCCGGCTGCGCCGCCCTCCGGCGCCGGCTCTCCGAGCCTTTGGCTTTGGGCGCTCTCCGGAACGCCGGAGCCGCTTCCCGCCGGAAAGCCGAGCCGGCCGCTACGTCCCGGAGCTGCGGGAACGCCGGCCCGGGGATCCACTCCAACCTCCGGAGGCTCCCGCGGCTCCGCTCGGCGCCGGGCGCTTCCGCCTGCTTTGGTTGCGTCTGGGGGTGCTCCCCGGCCGGGACGGGCTCGGGAGATTCCGGCGGAGCTTTCCCGGCGTCCGGCTCCGCGTCCCGGTCGCTGTCCGGCGGCTCCGCGTCCGGCCGGGGCTCCAGGGAAAAGGGCGACTCCGGGGAATCGCTCCGGAAAGTGCTTTGGGCCGGAGCGGCCCAGCCCGCGGGCACCGGCTCCGCACGGAACAGCAGCCGCGGGAACGGCAGGCGCTCCTCGGGAGCCGCGCTGCAACGGAATTCCGGGGGTGAAAACCGGGAATTCGGGGAAAAACCCACGGGGATGGATCCGGGGGAAATCTGGGATGGATCCAAGGGGAACTGGGATGGATCCAAGGGGAACTGGGATGGATCCGGGGGAAATCTGGGAGGGACCCGGGGGGAACTGGGATGGATCAAGGGGAACTGGGATGGATCCAGGGGAACTGGGATGGATCAAGGGGAACTGGGATGGATCCAAGGGAACTGGGATGGATCCAGGGAAATCTGGGATGGATCCAGGGCCGCTCGTGGCCGTTCCCGGGAACTCACCCGAGCTGTGTCCGGTGAGGCGCGGCCGGGACGGCTCCGGAGAGGGCGGGGTCGGGCTCATCTGGAAAACGAGGAAAACACCGGGATCAGCAGAGCCCATTCCCAAATTCCCGGCTCCAGGAGAGGCATGGGGGGAAAAAAAAGGGGGAAAACGGAATTTTCCTCTCTCCAATCTGCCCTGAAAAAAACTCCCACAGAAAATTGGGAATTGTCCTGGGATGCTCCCATTGGAGAGGATCCGTGGAAGATCTGATGACGTCACGGGATCGATCCCAAGGAACCCCTGGAATGTTGGAATGTCCCGGAATCGATCCCAAATTCCCCTGGAATGTTGGAATGTCCTGGGATCGATCCCAAATTCCCCTGGAATGTTGGAATGTCCTGGGATCGATCCCAAGGAACCCCTGGAATGTTGGAATGTCCTGGGATCGATCCCAAATTCCCCTGGAATGTTGGAATGTCCTGGGATCGATCCCAAATTCCCCTGGAATGTTGGAATGTCCCGGAATCGATCCCAAATTCCCCTGGAATGTTGGAATGTCCCGGGATCGATCCCAAATTCCCCTGGAATGTTGGAATGTCCTGGGATCGATCCCAAATTCCCCTGGAATGTCCCTGGGAATGTCCCAAATCCCCGCCAGAGCCGCCCCAAGCCTCCCCAGCTCCGATCCTGGAGGAAATCCAGGGAAAAAGGGAGGAGGTTCCTCATCCCAGCGCTCACCAGGGGCCGGAAAAATCCCTCCGGAGCCGAAGCGGAGCGGGGCGGGCCGCGGGCCGCGGCTCCCGGCGGCATTCCCGGGATTTCAGCCCCCCTTTCCCGGGATTCGCCCCTCCCGGAGCAGCTGCTCCGGAGCTTTTCCCAGAAAAGGGGCCCGGGCTGGGGCCGGCTCCGGGAGAGGAGCCGCGCCCTTCCCGGGGCCGGGAAACCTTCCCAGGGAAATTCGGGATGGCTCCGGCTCCGGGGGATCCGCGGGGGGATCCCGGGGAAAAGAAAACAGATCCGTCCCGAGCCGGGTCCCGGGAAAGTTCTGGGAGAAGTTTGGAGAGTTCTGGGTGAGGGAAAAGGAGAAAGGGGAGGCCCAGAAATTCCAGGGAATCCCGGGGACGGGGAGGGTTTGGGAATCTCCCGTGACGTCGGAAATCCCTGGAAAGCTCCAGAACCCCGGAGGGAAAAAGAAACGAAATCCGGCGGCGGTTCCGGCGCCCGCGGCGCCCGGGGGGGAGGAAAAGCTGGAAAAGCTCCCGGAAAAATCCCCAAAAAAAGCGGTTTTATCCCAAAAAACGAGGGGTCCCCGCGGAGGAGGCGGGGCCGAGGGGGGAGGAGGAGGAGGAGGAGGAGGAGGAGGATTCCCTGCGGGAATGTTTTCCTTGGCAGGAACCCGACGCTTCCCGGGGTTTTCCGAGGTTTTCTCGGCTCCTCCGGGGATTTGGGGCCGGGGAAACGCCGGGAAAAGCTTTTCCAAGGGGGGAAAATCCGGGATGGAGGGGATGGCCTGGCAGGCAGGAGGGGACCCCGGGGACCAGGAAAAATCCCGAACTCCAGGATACGGGACTGTATGTCCCAAAAACTGGGATTTTACAGCCCAAAAAATGGAATTTTATGACAAAAAACCTGGGATTTTATGTCCCAAAAATTGGGATTTTATGACCAAAAAAATGGGATTTTATGTCCCAAAAACCGGGATTTTACAGCCCAAAAAATGGAATTTTATGACAAAAAACCTGGGATTTTATGTCCCAAAAATTGGGATTTTATGTCCCAAAAAATAGGATTTTACAGCCCAAAAACTGGGATTTTACGACAAAAAAAAAGGAATTTTACAGCCCAAAATTCCGGATCTGCTGTCCCAAAACCCGGGATTTTTCGGCCCAAAAGTCCCTGTTTCTCAACAACTGACCCCAAACTGACCAACAAGTGACCCCAAACCCCAACAACTGACCCCAAACTGACCAGTCCTGACCCCAAACTGACCAACTGACCCCAAACTGACCAACTGACCCCAAACCCCAACAAGTGACCCCAAACTGACCATCCCTGACCCCAAACTGACCCCAAACTGACCAACAAGTGACCCCAAACTGACCAACTGACCCCAAACTGACCAACTGACCCCAAACACCAACAAGTGACCCCAAACTGACCCCAAACTGACCCTAAACCCCAACAACTGACCCCAAACTGACCCCAAACTGACCAACAAGTGACCCCAAACTGACCCCAAACTGACCAGTCCTGACCCCAAACTGACCCCAAACTGACCAACAAGTGACCCCAAACTGACCCCAAACTGACCAGTCCTGACCCCAAACTGACCAGTCCTGACCCCAAACCCAGCTCTGGGACAGCGACGTCACCCAGAGAGCAGCACCGGCACTGAGGGGTAACGGCAGCACCGGGACAGAACCGGAACCGGCTCTGGAACCGAGTCTGGAACCCAGTCTGGAACCGAGTCTGGAACCCGACCTAGAACCGAGTCTAGAACCGAGCCGGAACCCGATCTAGAACTGAGTCTAGAACCGACACCTAGAACCCGATCTAGAACCGAGTCCAGAACCCGATCTAGAACCGACACCTAGAACCGGCACCTAGAACCGAGTCTAGAACCGGCACCTAGAACCGAGTCTGGAACCTCGACCCGGAACCTGGTCTGGAACCGACGCCTAGAGCTGATCCCGGAAACGCAGCCCGGAACTCAGTCTGGAACCAGCTCCAGAACCGAGTCCAGAACCAACGGGGGCGCCCCCGGTTCCGATCCCGGTTCCAATCCCGGTTCCACTCCCGGTTCCAATCCCAGTTCCAATCCTGGTTCCGATCCCAGTTCCGATCCTGGTTCCGCTCCCGGTTCCGATCCCGGTTCCGATCCCGGTTCCGATCCCGGTTCCAATCCCGGTTCCAATCCCAGTTCCAATCCCGGTTCCGATCCCGGTTCCGATCCCGGTTCCAATCCCGGTTCCAATCCCGGTTCCACTCCCGGTTCCGATCCCGGTTCCGATCCCGGTTCCAATCCCGGTTCCAATCCCAGTTCCAATCCCGGTTCCGCTCCCGGTTCCAATCCCGGTTCCGCTCCCGGTTCCGCTCCCGGTTCTGATCCCAGTCCCAATCCTGGTTCCAATCTCGGTTCCAATCCCGGTTCCGCTCCCGTTCCCGTTCCCGTCCCCTCCCCCGGCACTCACCGGCCTCATCGTTGGCCTCCAGGGCCACCCCGGGCTCCGTCCGGGCCAGCGCGGAGAACAAATCCGGCTCCTCCTCCTCCTCCTCCTCCTCCTCCTCCTCCTGCCCCGGCGCCGCCGCTCCGGCCGCGCTCTCCGGCCGCTTCCCGCCGTTCTGCCGGATCGGGGCTCCGGCCTCGCCCGGCGGCTCCGCCTCGCCGTCCGGAGCCATGGCCGGGGCTCCGGGGCCGCTCCCGTCCATCCCGCGCCGCGGGAACGCGCCCACGGTGATCCCAGCGCCCGGGAACCGCCGGCAAAACCTGCGGGGAAAACGGGATAAACTGGGATAAACGGGATAAACCGGGAATGGAACCGGGATAAACCGGGAATGGAACCGGGGTAAATGGGATAAACCGGGATAAACTGGGAATGGAACCAGGATAAACCGGGATAAACCGGGAATGGAACCGGGATAAATGGGATAAACCGGGATAAACTGGGATAAACTGGGAATGGAACCAGGATAAACCGGGATAAACCGGGAATGGAACCGGGATAAACCGGGGTAAACCGGGATGAACGGGATAAACCGGGATAAACCGGGATGAATGGGATGAACCGGGATAAACTGGGATAAACTGGGAATGGAACCGGGATAAATGGGATAAACCGGGATAAACTGGGATAAACTGGGAATGGAACCGGGATAAACCGGGATAAACCGGGGTAAACTGGGAATGGAACCGGGATAAACTGGGAATGGAACCGGGATAAACCGGGATAAACTGGGATAAACCGGGATAAACCAGGATAAACTGGGATAAACCGGGATAAACTGGGATGAACCAGGATAAACTGGGGAAAACTGGGATAAACTGGGATAAACCGGGATAAACTGGGATAAACCGGGATAAACTGGGATAAACCGGGGTAAACCGGGATAAACCGGGATGAATGGGATAAACCGGGATAAACCGGGAATGGAACCGGGATAAACCGGGATGAACCAGGATAAACTGGGATAAACCGGGATAAACTGGGATGAACCAGGATAAACTGGGGAAAACTGGGATAAACCGGGATAAACCGGGATAAACCGGGATAAACCAGGGTCAGGGTCCAGTCTTGGAAGTTCTGGAGGGAGAAGGTGGAAAATCCCAAATCCCAAATCCCAACTCCCACCCCCTGCTC